GACCCAGGATCATGACAATAACACTCTGCAGGAAAACACCAGTGTGCACACTTTGGAAATATTAAAGGTGGAACTTGCCCACCTTATTGTTTGTGAGATGTTTGAGAACAGTGTCATCTGTCTCTATTCTCTAGGGTAGTGCAGGGATCTGGTTAGGTAACATAACCGTCTCAGGTAAAAGCACCTGAATAACTCTGACCTGTTGAAGTGTCTGCGGAAACTCTCACTGAGCAGGTAGAGCGCGAACGGGTTGACGCAGGACGAGGAGAAGCTGAGGACCCGGGCTAGAAGAGTGATGACGAGGTGGGCCAGTGACAGATCCATCTGGTGGTAGTGGAAGGAGCGGTACATGTAGAGGACGTGGTTTGGGAACCAGCACAGGGCAAACAGGCCCACAAAAACCAGCACGATCTTAGCCAGACGCTTCCTCGTCTCCATCTGGAAGAAAAGGATTTAAAGCGATGAGACATCACAAGCTGGAGGGACTGAACACAAAACAGTTTTCAGTAAAAAGAGCTGAAAGATTTCCAAACTACATCTTCAAATGGAACTCACTGGATCTCACATGATCAGACCTCTCTGTGGTTCATTAGAGGAGACATGAGCTGTGGAGGTGACTTGGAAAAGAAAAGGATCTGTCTGCATGTTGAACTGTCTGATTCTTATAGTTTGGCCAGGGTCACAATGAGAGCATGTGGAGGGGATACAAACTTTGACAGGGGGACAAAAGCAGGAGGGGACATTCACGCTGTCTCTTATGTGCACAGTTACATTTGCACACATCCACAACATAAACACAGATTATAAACTAAGATGCCACGAATACAAAAACCTTAAAGGCGCATTTAAAAACACAGACACGGTCCTTTATAAAGGACTTTCCCTTCATGATTTCTTAGTCTTTTCTATATTTGTCTCACTTTCTTGTTTCAGATCATTACAGACATGTTGGTATGAAACAAAGATGGGGTGTGTGTCTTTGTCACAGACTCTGAGTGCAGTGTCCTCCACACATTTCCAGATGTTTTGCAATTTTCAAGTGAGGTCTTTAAAGATTTAAAGCCAGGAGCGGTTTAATGACCTGTTTTTGGTTCCATTATGAATGAAGGGAACTTCCCAAAGTCTGCCTTTGATTGCCCATCAGCTCCAACAGCTCCATCAGCTGCAGTGCCCTCCTCAGTAACTGCTGCAGAAACACTCAGCTACTATGATATGTTGTTACTCCAGTAACTTTTCAATGTTTAACTGTTTCCATTACAGCCTTTAATTATAGCTTTAAAAGTGTGTCAGTAGAATTCAGCTGAGGGGGCATAGTGACCTTTTTGGACACTCCTGGCCCCCGGGGACGCCCCTAACGTAGAAGCTCATTTTGGCTAAAGGTCTTTCTCTGTTAAAGTGACTCCTGCCTGCTCCTGCCTGTATGCAGGGCCACAGCCACACATACTCGAGGCTTTGTTGGTCGTCCCTTTTAAGAACATTCAATGGTTTTGGGGGCATATGTCTGAGCACTGCTGCAAACGTATTAGAACGGGCGTGTTGGAGTCCATCCCGGGCATGCATTTTATTTATTCTTCCTGAAATTTGTAACTTTTATACATTTTACATGGAAATTGCTTTGCAATGAAAAACTCAGAATCAGGAACCAGGTGACAGTTAAACAAGAATGGCAGTTTCCCAAGTAAGTCATTCAAGTTTTTGTTTAAACCTTTTGCTTTTATAACCTCACGCTTGGATTGCTGCAACTCCCCTTTAATAGGGGTTGGCCAGGGGACTTTGTCATTTTGTTTTTTTTACCAGTCTTTTACCAGTTTTTAACTGGTAAAAGAACATTTGAGCATATTACTCCAGATCTCCTTACACTTGCTTCCAATTTAATTTAGGATCGCTTTTAAAATCCTTTTACTGTTTTTTAAATCCTTAAATGGTCTGGCGCCTGTATATTTGTCCGATGTGTTGCGGTCCTATGTCCCCCCTCGTTCACTCCAGGCAGCCGAGCAGCTGTTGCTCTCACTCCCTAAATC